TGTTTAAAATATGTTCAGTAATTTTTTGTTCAGTGATTTTAAAGAACAAAGCTGTAAATACAGCAATCAATTAAAACGTTGGAGTCATTTTGCTCCCTATGTGACATACAATTCTCAGGAGATGTGATCACGAAGAGTTAAGCATTAATACTAATAATTGGATTGATTCTGTATGACTAACAATAAAACTTATGAACTACAATAATTTTAACTTACAATTCCGGTGTTTGCACAAATGATTGTCTGTAGGTTCGCTTGGCTCGCTAGAACCGGCCTTATTGTGAGCGCGAACGCGAAATTGATACACCATCTTTTCTTTAAGACCTTCAACTTTAGCCTCAGGTGTTGAATCGGTAGTCTTCATTACCTCAACCCAGTCGACGGCGAATTTGTCCTTTATCTCGACAGTATAATGAGTGATCGGTCTGCCACCGTCGTTCTGCGGTTTCTCCCATTTCAAAGATACACTGACATTATCATAATCAAAGATTTGCGGCTTACCAGGTTTGCCGGGCTCATCTGTCGAAAATATTATATAAAATTTGTCTCAAAACTTCATTAACAGTACCTAATTAAATTAAATTAATCAAATTAAATTAACAATATTTATGTTGTCAAATTTTATTTTAAATTTTAATTTCTGCCTACTTAATAGTTTTATTATACGATAATATTCTTCCAGGGACTTCCACGGGTATTTTCTATATAAAGATTATATTAGGGAAAAAGTTCGTGGCGTTTTTCCCGTTACATCTAACGGGAAAAACGCCACAAACACTCCCAAATATTTTCGTGGATTTTCTCCATGTCCAGATCCATTCTTGGAATGTTAACGTTTCGTGAATCTTCCACTTCATCGGAGCGAAGAGTAGCCTGATAGAGAATCAGGCTACTCCTCGTTCTGATGAAGTGAACCCACGAAACACATAATCTTTATAGTTTTATTATCTATTTTCATCCAGAAAAATTATTAATTATTAGAAATATTAATATTAAATAATAATATCTAATTTAGAAATTAGATATTTTCTTACCGTAAGGATTTTTCGCGATAATGGCTTCCTCAACTTCCAAAGGTTCAGATTCGCCTTCCTTATTGACCGCTTTGACACGGAATTTATATTTCTTCTTGGGCGTTAGACCAGAGAACGTGAAAACCTTCTCGTTGGGGCTTGTTTCTCCGGCAGGAATCCATCGTCCAGTATCCAGATCCATTTTTTCCAATACATAGCCTGTAATATCGGTACCGCCGTTATCCTCTGGCGTATCCCACTTAACTTTAACGTGATCGGAGCGGACTTCCTCCACTTTGAGAGGTCCTTGCGGAATCGACGGCTTATCTGTAAAAAGATAATGAATTTATACGATGTAACACAATTTTTGAATAATATTCTACAATTAAAAAATCAAGCAATAAAATAAATATTTCTTTGCCATAAATTTGAATTAATTATTTTACTCTCAAATTTGTAATTTCTTTCAATTAATTAAAAATATATTTTATTTTCTCGTAAAATATATTATTTACTATAAATTTTTGTGTAAAATTTCCTTTAAAATTTATTTTAATTTAATCAAGAAAAATGTCAATTAAAAAAATTGTTAATTAGTCGAAAAAATATTGAGATATTAAAAGATACAATTAACTCACCAAGAACAACAACGTCGGCAACGCTTTCGCAGGTGCCAGAACTGTTCGTCAATACTAATTTATATTTTCCGGAATCAGGTCTGGTAGTCTTCCTAACTGTTAGTACGGTATTTCTCTCATATTTATCAATTGTGACTCTTTCGGCCGAATCTTGGATTATCTCCTTCTGGCCCAGGAACCAGTGCACCTCTGGTTCTGGCTCGCCAGCGTACTTGATATCGTACTTGATGACTTGACCCTTTTTGACAACTAAGTTTGTAAGACCATCGCCAACAATGTATGGCTTAACAAATCGGCACTTAGCGATAATTGGTTTAGTGACATCAGACGGTTCACCAGGACCTGCCTTGTTTACTGCTCGTATCCTAAACTCGTATTGCGTGCCTTCTTTGAGACCGTCAATAGTCGCCTGAGTCACATCGCCTTCAATCTCCTTGCCCGTTACCCATTCCTTGCCAAACTTTTCCTTGTACTCAATTATATAGCCAGTAATCGGAGCTCCGCCATCATTTTCGGGCTTTGTCCATGTCAGATCAGCGTGATCTTTGTCCCAATCAGTTACGTCGACATTTGTAGGTTTGCCTGGTTCATCTAGAAGACACAAAAATATTTTCATTTACTTCTTTTTATCTCTAATTTATATTTACGAATCACCATCCAAATAATGAGATTAAATTTTTATAATTAACTTTTACATCTAAGATCATTTTGTTATCTCCTTTAATTTTTGAGAAGATATGAATTTTATTGTAAAAGATAATATTAATTTCTACATAAAAAAAAATCAATTAATTTGATAAAATTTACCCCATGGATCCTTGGCTAAGACTGGTTTGCCGAACATTGCCGGTTCGCTGGAACCGAGTTTATTCACTGCTCGTATGCGGAATTTGTATTCCCTCTTCGCAATTAGATCTTCGACTTTGTAGACACATTTTTCGCCTGACATGACTTCACCCACGCTATCCCATTGAGACTTTAAGCTAAGATCGAGGCGTTCAATAACATATTTCATGATGGGTGCACCGCCTTCATCCTTTGATGGTTTGAAGGATACGACGCAAGAATTTTGGAAAATCTCGTTAACTTCAACGTCATACGGTGGAGATGGAACGTCTGAAAGAATAATTAATAAATACGAAAAAATAAGATATATTATTTTATGTACAAAAAAATTTATAAAAGTACAAACCTTGCATAACAATATTGACATCCTTTACTTCTTCACCCTGATTATTACCAATTTTAATCTGATAGATACCAGATGATTCGCGTTGAGGTTTCTTGATTTTATATGTGATTTTATCCTCACCAACGACAATTTCAACGTCCTTGAGAGGTAGAGGTTTGCCGTCTTTCATCAGTTTCGCTTCTACTTGACTCTGCTTGGTGCCATCAACTACAAATTTCAAAATTTTCCATTTTATAATACATTTTTACATCATAAATTTTATCACATTATACATAAGATGTGAATCCTTACTTTTGAAAGGCACGACAAAGACCAATGGAGCGCTGCAGGGTCCTTCGACTTTATCGGGGAAGTCAACGATCGGCTTGCTTTCGCCTTTCTTTACAGTGAGCTTACAACTGCTCGTTAGCTGACCACTCTCGCACGTGATCTCGCCATCGTCTGTCATTTCCAACTTATTGAAGACCAACTGGTGCTTACCACCGCCCAAATTCTTGATCTCCACTCTCTCATTAGGTTCGATCTTCTCGCCATTAAAGTAGAATACAGCTGGCGCGGTCTGATCTTGAAGTTCGACGTCCAGCACCAACTTCTCTCTTTCAACCGCGACAGTATCCTTCAACTTCTTGTTGAAGCGATTGGCATCTATAATTTTCGAGAAGATACATATAATCTTTTTTCTTAAGAACAGTGAAAGAATTAAATTAAAAAATGTTATATTTACAGTTTATCACAATTTCAGCTTCGGTCTTGTCTGCGTTACTCACGCAAGAGTAAAGTCCGGCATCGGTGACTTTACAATCTTTAATAACGAGCTTTCGTTTCCTGCCTTCTTCCTTAATTTGTATTCTAGTACAGAAATTATTTATTAAAAAAATATTTTTAAAATAAACAATTATGTAAAAAGGTACCTTTTATCAGGCGTGATTGCTTGATCACCCTTGAACCATTGGACTTCACCCGCGGCATCATCCAGTTCGCAAAGTAATGTCAAGGTTTCCTTTTCAATCAACTGCTGGTGTTTCAACACTTTGACGAACTTGTAAGGATATTCTAAAAAATATATATATATTAAGTTTCATATACGTTTAAATTAAAGTTTTGTAAATAAAAAATTGTAATTGAATTATTGTGATTTTTTTTTTAAATAATACCTACCGACTATAGTGAGTATGGTTTCGGTCTTATCCGTCTGCTTGTTTATCTTGCAAGTGTATTCGCCACTATCTTCGAGAGTTGCGCTCCTAATTGCCAGCCGACACACGCCGGACATATCTTTGGAAATACTATACTGATCTCCATCCTAAAAAAAATAACAATGGGATTTTTTAAATACTGCAACGTTATAAATATTAAATATTTATTCGAATTTTCAGCGTAATAAATTACCTCGAGTTTCGTTTTGCCTTTGTACCAGGAAATTTGCGCCATATTAGAACTAACTGTACATTCCATGTAAGCTTCGTGCTTTGTAAAGCCGCTAGTCTTTTTCGATAACGGCTTTAGGAAGGTATACGTTGGATCAGGTTCTGAAATTAAAACAATTTCAGAATTTCAAAATATAAAATTTATGTAGTGTAAAAGTTTGATTCTTAGAAAGAAGATTTATGATTCTTCTGAAGTTTGATTCTTAGAAAGAAGATTTATTTTTATTCAAATTATGTTAGGTACCATCTACATTGAGAAAAGCTGTGCTGGATACGCCAGCAATTTCAATCGTATATTTTCCAGTGTCTTCGACTTTGGGTCCAGAAATAACGAGCTGATAACAATCCTCCTCGTTTTTAAATTTGTATTTCGCCGATGGGAATAATTCCTACATAAAAAGCAAATTATTTATCAATTACTTCAATCTTTAATCTGTTTTTCTATAAATTATAAAATGTATTATACTTTACTCAACTCTTTTATACACTAAAAAAGAAGTGTTTAATTTTAAGCTAAAACATTATGTTCTTCTCTCTATTTTTTTAAACACTTAGGCCCATTTTCACAATATATGGTTATCTAAAGATTAAAGATTGCCAACAGATTCATCAATGAAATTCATTCACGAATTTCTTGGTTACCTTTAATCTTTAGGTAACCATATATTGTGAAATCAGGCCTTAGTCAGGTTAGATTGTTCCATCTTTCGGTAAACTTCAGCTCACTGTCTTACTTTCTTCTGCTCTTATTCTTTTACTCTTTTGTTTATCCAACAGATAAATTATCACAAAGTTTTTGAAGATGGAACAATTGGCCTTTTAAAGATGTTTTAGTTTAAAACTTTTTCCATAAACAAAACACTATATTTAGATTTAAAATACATAGTATTTTCAATCCAAACACATAGTTTTGTTTATTGACCTCACACTTTTTTTTCAGTGTAGCTCGCAAAAATAGAAAAATATAATTAAATAATGTTTATTTCTGACATAATACTTACGTCTTTTCGGAAGAACCATTTCGGCTTGCAATTCGGTTTCGAAAAGTTCGCTTCGAAGACGACCTTTTTATCTTTGCCTTCCTTGGCATACTGATCTACCAGTGGCTTCAGGAAACTTTCTTGTTTCTGCGAAAAAGATATCATCAATCAATTATGAATCATATTCGGAGATTTAATTAAGAAATCCAGTAGTAATATTGTTCAACATTGACAGCAATCGCTTTGCCAGGCTACAAAAAAAGTAGTAAGAAAAATCGGCGAAAAATTTGAAAAATGGCCACTGCCTCTCCGTATGAGCAGAAGAACGGAAGGCGAGGATGAAAAAAGGCACGAAGACGAAATCTCTAGAAGGGATTCTAGAAGGAAACTTTAGACAAAAAACTTGCAAAAAGTTCGGTCGATCGTTCGTCGACAGAATTGGCTTGATAAGCTTGTCTTCAAGTTCATGACTTATCATGCTTATTATTGTGATCATGCTTATGATCTAGTGTTAAACGGTTTTGAGGAAAAAAGAGTATGTTGGCTTCCTTGAAAAAAAATAAAAATGTATTTGCTATTGCTCGAGTAAAATGCGCGAGAAGATAGTTGCTGAAGAAGGCTTTGCTTATAATACATTCAGAGACGACACCGATGAAGAAAGATATTATTTGATGCAAGGGAATCCAACTGTGAATATTTTTGCTGATGTTTTAATCAGTCTTATTATTAAAAAACATTTAATAGATTTCAAGAAGTTAATTCTATTGTAATAATAAATAAATAATGTTTAATATTAAAGTTTGCATTTCAAGTAAACATTTAAATCAATAAATTTAAAATATTGTATTTGATATTCAATTTAACTTATTTTAATAAGTTAAAAAATATTTGAATAAAAAATATATTAGCTTATAATCTTATTTATTAATAATAATTTAATTAAAAAGAAAAAGTAACTTTTTCCAATTGTGTAAATTAGCAACTTTTTATAAGAAAAATTTGTCACAGATTAGGATCCCTGCAAATAAATTTTAAACAGAATATTTTCTCAAAACATAAGAGAAGAATTAAAGAAATTTATTAAATTATATTATAAGTCGAGAGCCAGAAGATATAACAGAAACGACGTAATTTTGATCTTAAGTAATTAATAAAATAGAATTTATTAATCGAAGGCAGAAGAAACAGTAGTAGAATTTAGGACGAGACAATTAATTTATATAAGAGAGTCGTCCAGAGAAAGAGCTCTCAAGCGAATCAGAGACAGAAGATAAATAGATCGTCGAGTTTCGAAGACTGTCGAGGCAACAGTGACAGGCACAACAGATAATCAATATCACGTGAAATTATTGATGGGAAGTTCGATTTATAGAGAATCGATCCAACCTCCGTCTTGGTGAAGTGATGCAGGATTGGCCAGTCGGGTATTAATTCGGCCAGAGACGGCCTACGCGATCCACTATTCTAGAAACAAGAAAAGACACATCCACTATCACAGTATCTTTTCGGAATACGTCGTGTTGATCTTATTCGCTGATCGCTTTCAGCGGAGAGCTATGATAGGCTTTTATTTTGAATTTAGTTGTTATTGCTAACTTTATTTATATTTGGTTTTATAAGTTTCGTTATTTCAGATTTTCTGAATCAATTGTCGCTCGTCATTGTGAGTTGTGTATGATTAACTGCAGTAATTACAATCATTAAATAATAGTTTAATAATTCTACAATTGTTAAGTTATATTAAATAAGTTGTTACAGAATATTATCAAAATATAGAATATTAATAATAAATACTATATTAAGTATTATTAAGCATAATATATAATTATTATCACAAATTAAAATATTTGAATATCATAAATATATTCCATGTTTATTAATAATTCTACAATTTTTTAAGATAAATGTGAGTCACATAACTCAACAGAACGAAGTTTAATAATAAGGAATGTTATTTGAATAATCTAATCTGTTATTTGAAATATCTATTGTTTAAATAAGATTTGTCTATTTGACTAATGATCTTTAATTCAAAAACATCCATGAAATCGTGTGCATGCGTGATGATAAGCATATGTGACAATAAGATTCATTTTTAATTAAGCCAAGCGTGAGATGCATGGATTTAATTATTACAATTACAGAACCTCGATTATCCGACTTAACGTAAACCGGATTTATTAAAGAAGTTGGATAATCAAGATATTTTATTCTATTAAAACATGTTTTAGATAGAAATAAGATTACAACGTTTTCGATTACGTTAATCGAGATGTCGGATAATCGAAGTAATTCTATATCTGTAATTCCAAATTAATTTGTGTAATGCCAGTATCAGACTAGAGAGAGAGAGATTGCGATTAAGATTAAAATTGAGATTGAATTTGACCAACCAAAACAAATTTATTAAACTTGATATTGATTTTCTATCTTCTAATTGTTTAAATTAAATCTCAATCTCAATATCAATCTCTAGTCTGATAAAAGTATAAGAATTCATATATATATTAGATATGGGAAAAAGTTCATGGCATTTTTCCCATTACATCTAATAGGAAAAACGCCACGAACTTTTTCCCACCTAATATTAATAAATTTATATTTACTCCTCTGTTTCATAATTATTTTAAATTTTTATAAAATTATTTAAAAAAGCGCAGGCCAAAGGGATCTCTCAATCGTAAATAGTCGCAAGAATTTTAAAATATTTTTTGGAAAAGTTATGAATTTTAATGTAATTAGACACATACATAATTTTTGAAAAAATTTGATTAAAACAAAAGTATGTAGATAAAAAAATTCTTGCGAATAACTGACTGGCTTTCGTTTTCAACGATTTATTCGGTTTACATCCTTAGTCGGATTGATGTAACACCTGCCTTAATAAAACAAAGAGATCAGTAATTTTAAATACCTACATCGCGTAAGAGTCGATCTCTTTGCTGTGTTACAAACAGAATTATGTTTTATTTCGCTCAAAGGATCAAGAAAATCCAAAAAACACAGGGATATTCTGGCAAATTATGATATAAAATGATGAAGTACTGGAAAGTATTGTAGGAAAATTTTATCTTAGTGTCTTCCTTAATTCATAAATTTTAAACAATTGTTTATGTAATATGTTATAGATAATTATGTGCTGTGATATTCAAATTTAATTAACCAGAATACCACGCAGGAAATAGAAGCCTTGCGGGGCGGTTCTGCTCTCTGTTTCATGGCTTTTTGGAATTTAATACAAGGATGCATTCCCTTAAGATTTTTTTTTCGCGAACCTTCTCCTTGGCGTGTGTCGCTAGTTTTGGCCAGTCGACAATTAGCTCCTGCAAACTTGGCCTGCGCTGAATGTCGAAGATATCCTACATGCCCGGCATACACACATCATGGTTAGAGTCACTCTTATACAATTAGCCAATAGCGCGCGATCAAAGAACTCTGATTTAAAGAAATATCTGATAAAAATTTAAAAAAGAAAGATGGCAATTTAATTAATTAATTAATTTAATTTTAATATATTAATATATTAATTAATAATATATTAATTAATTTTTTCCAATTGTATAATGCGCTTTTGTCATCGAAACATCTTATATGTATTTAATTGTTAAATAATTTTTATTTATAACTGTAAAATTCATTAGAGTTCTTATCTTGTCGTTATTTCTACATATTTAAAGATAATGCTTTTCTCCTAATGTGCAAAGTGTCACATGCAATGTTTGGAATAATGCCAATTACATCACACATTATCGATAGTTTACATTTTTATTTCTACTAGGAACTTTTCAGTTACGTTAATTATCGTGCTTGCTTGTTAATAGAGAAATATATAATAAATGTAAACATATACAGCTAGCCCTCAGTATGCGCATCATAGTCATAAGGGAGAGAAGAGAGTTTGAGAGATTTAACTCACTGAAATTTTTTATTCTTCTTATTTTAATTATAAAAAATGCAACTTTATTTTTGATTTCAAATAATTTTCTTGTTGTCACAAATAAAATATTTTTTCTCTTAGTTACAGTTGTATAATTTCTGAAACTTTCATTAGTTAGAGCTTTGTTAGAGTATATGTATAAGGAAAATTCTCAGATATATCCCCCTACTGCGATCAAATAATGTTTACAATATAATTTCCATGCACTTTAAAATCTTGAATTATTCAATTCTTCAAAATAAAATCAAATGTACCAATCCAGAATTTGAATAATTTAACAACTTAAAGGTACAAAAGAGGGATAGATGTAATAATAATTTAAAGTGCAGCATTAACTCTAAACTATAAAAGTGCATACGTTAAAAATGAAAAAAGAAAGTTATGTTACTTGAGCGATAAAGTGGAGAAAAAGGGGAAGTAGAGAACTTATATAGCAAAACTAAATTCCCAAGATAATAATTTTAAAAATTCATATAATCAGGCAATTGGGAATTGGTGCTGTAGACGGTGTGCAGTTTTGTTTCTTTAAATTAATTATATATTATATCATTACTTGTACATGTTTCAGCTAATCTTTTAGCCTTCTTTAGCAAATTTACAGTATATATTATAATACGTTCGTTATCCATGACTGGAAATCTAATTAATTGTAAATAATAATTAATAAGCTAAAAAACATTTTTATGTCATAATCAAGAAAAACTTATCCCATGTAACCGACGATTATATCGATCAATTATTAAAATAATAAAATAAGTAATAATAAATGAAGTTATAATAAAATTAACGATGTAATTAATAATAAAATTATAATAGAGATGAATATAAACGATAATATGATTTAACAAATTGTCAAATGTGTTACTGATTAACAAGAAACGATGAAGTATGAGTTCGAGCAGTATCGCTATTCAACTAAGGAGTATAACGGTTTTATCCTTTAAAATTATATTTCATTACAATTTTATTATTGATTACGCCGTTAATTTTATTATAACTTCATTTATTATTATTATTTATTTTATTATTTTAATAATTGATCAATATAATCGCCAGTTATATCATTGTGGGGTAAGTCTTTCTTGACAATGATATAAAAATGTTTTCTATCTTATTAATTATTGTTTACAATTAATTAGATTTTCAGTCATTCACTACCATCCAGCTTTCAAACTGGGAAATGTTTATTCTGAAATGGATGTTACTGCCACATAATGATATCAACGTACATCGACTTTTATAAGATTCATGGATAACCAACGTATAATATTATAACACATACTGTAAATTTGCTGAAGAAGGCTAAAAGATTAGCCAAAACATGTACAAGTAATGATATAATATATAATTAAAGAAACAAAAACTGCGCACCAACGCGCGTCTACAGCGCCAATTCCTAATTGTTTATATGATTTTTTAAAATTAATATAGCAAAATTTAGATAACGTGAGAGTTTCAAATCTTCTAATATATAACAATCAAGAAATCTACTATTCTATAATTCTTTCTCATTTTATAGAGATATTCTATAATTCTTTCCCACTTTATAGAGAGAATAAAATTATTTATTTAAAAATCTGTTAATATTTAAAGAAATAAAGTCTGATTGTAAGTCCTAATGTTTCGTCAATCGTAATTTAAAATCGTAATCGTTGTATTGTCATTGTCACTATGATTTATTTTGTAAATCGCTCGGGAAAAAGAACCTTGAGCCAGCTCCAGTTAGTTTCACCCTTCTTGTCGAGAGAAATTCGAAAGATCTCCACACCCGCTGACAAGATGACTATTTCCTCGCCGTCTTGAAACCAGCCCGATCCATGCTGTTCGCTTCCTAGCGACTAGGAGACAGAGGTAGACAAAGAAGAGAAGAGAAAGACACAAAGAAAGGAACAGGCAGAAAATGCATTCTGAGATCTTGAAGATGTACTCTATCTTCAAAAATCTCTATTAAGTTGCCGTTAGCTGTAGGCTAAATGAAAACATTACTTAATGTATTTAATTATCTATCCAAAATATTATTCTGTAATATGATTTTAAATAAAAAATGAAAATGTTCATTAGTTTCTTATTTTAATTTGTTTGTAATTAAATAAAAGGGTATCTTGGTTGTTATAATATAATTGTCAAATAAAAAAAGAAACAAAAAGAGAATTTCAAATTAGATTTATAAAGTAGGTAAGTCAAGGTATTAAATTTATGTTACATATCTAACATTGTGTCACCTGTTTTTACATTCATGAAGACACCATCAGGCTGTTAATGGCGTGCTGAAATCGCATTCGCACATCTCCGTTATGTATTACATCGATGGCGATTATATAAATGTAATGCGTAACCAATTTTATTTAAAAATATTACGCACACTATATATATATATAT